CACAGCACCTGCCTGACAAGCGCAAGGTCATGAGTTCGATTCCCAGTACCAAAAAAAAAAAAAAAAAAGATGAGTGAGAATGCACTGTCCCCATCACATACAGCGAAACAGGCAGGATTACCCTCACGCTACATTTGCGGACCCACAGGCCCCTTGGGGTAGTGTCATGACTAAGACCTGACAGCTTGGGGCAGGTGAAATTCAAATCCTGGCCTTAGTTCAAGTTCAAGCGTTGTCCTCTGTGCCATCCCACAGTTCACTCTGCAAGGGCAACACTTAAGGGATGGCCCTTTGTAAAGTAATATTCACCTGTAATGTCTGCATTTGAACTTAGATTTCCAGATGTATCTTCAGAGGAGTAACACAATGGTAGAAATCAAAAACAAAACAACAAAAAAGTAAGTGCCCTGCATAATTGAGTTGGAGGCATTTTACAAAGTGATATTACACAAACTAACAAAGAATAGTTCACGGGGCTGGGGATTTAGCTCAGTGGCACAGCGCCTGCCTGGTGATTCCCCGTACCGGAAAAAAAAACAAAAATACCAGAAACAAACAAAGAATAGTTCAGGACAAAGTCAGTACATCCTAGAGTACTCTCTGAGTAGCTGCCTATGTAAAACACTGACATTCCTTCTAAAGCTCACCTGGCTGTCAAAAGTTAGAACTGTATACCTAAGAAGTCTGCTTCCTAGACATGGTTTAAATTACAAACCATCCTATATAAAATTCTCTAGGAAACAGGAACAAATATTCAAATTCTCAGGGCTAGGAGTTCAGCTAAGTGGTAGAACCCTTGCCTAGCATGCATGAGGTCCTGGGTTCACTCCCCAGTGCTGCAAAAAAGAAAAAAAAAAATCTCTAGGAGTCAGAAATAATAAGATTTAAAGATCAAAAAAATCAACGATTGCATTGGCTGTCCAAAACAGAAGAAAAACAAAACAAAACAAAAAATGTTTGGGTCAAGGAAACCTCAGAGATATGAAACTTCAAAAAGAAGTTTTGCTGTCTCATTTCAAATATTTTTTCAGTTAAAAAAATTCAGTGATTTAAAATTAACTTGATTTTAAAATTTAAAAGTTCTTTTTAGCTAATATAATTAGGTACATTTTTAATATAGGAAAAATAAATTTGTACTCTTAAAGCACAAAAATGCTATAGATACGCATAACTTCAATGTAGTCATATAGAAAAGTTTTCTAAATAGACCATGATAGTCCCTCTAATACTTTTTACAATATATAACTTTTCTTAAAATATTCTTAATACATATATAAAGCTAATCCCTAGCTGTTGAAAGTTAATCTGTTCCCCAAAATTTATTCCTTTATGATTTAAATCTCAAGATTAAAAATGAACTACTTAAAATATGTATATTCTTCCAAAGAAGTTTTTTGTAGGTTTGTTTTGGTTTTCTTCTTTTTTTTTTTTTTGTACCAGGAATCAAACTCAGGACCTTGTGCTTGCCACTGAGCTATATCCCCGGCCCTAGGTTTGTTTTGTTTTGTAGCTGCTACTCAGGATTTAACCCTGGGCCTTTGCACTGAGCTACATCTCCAGCCCTTTTTTTTATCTTGAGACAGGGACTCGATAAATTGCTGAGCTCAAACCTGCAATTCTCCTGTCTCAGCCTCCCAGAGTGCTGGGAATACAAGCCAGAGCAGCCACCCTGAGCTTATAGTTATTTTTAAAGACATGCCAGTGAATATCTTCGTACTGTGAAGAAAATGTTGGTTGAATCACACATATTACAGCCTACCTGTAAGGAATGGGCTCAGTGGGGGACCCCTAAAGCTAGTTTTTTGTACCTGTATGTATAGATTTTTGGAAAATACCTAGTAATGTATTCGGGCATTGCAAAATGGAATTTTTTTCTTTATAGACAAGTGGCTTTTTTGAGGCCTGGAGCATAAACAGCTTTTTCCACTTTTCCTCAGCCCAGGTGCCAACACCAGGAGGGCTGAAGCCCAGTTCCCTTTCCACAGGAGTGGGAACTAAAACTGGCAGGCAGTGATAAAGCAAGTGTGAGCATTTATATTATCTCTGTGCTCCCCTCCCCTCTATTTCTTACTATGAGACCCCTGCCCACCTGTACACCAGGACACGTGGTGAACTGAGGCAAAGGGGCCCTTCCATTTCCTTGGAGTTAGCTTTAAATAAATCCTTTTTCCTTTTCACCCAAATATTTGGCCTCCTTTGATTTGGTCAACAGCAAGCCAACAAACCTGAGCATGTACGGTAACAGTAATGCTTTAAAACATAAGCTGTCTTTGATTAATTCAAATAATCTAGATTCAACAAATATTGAGTACCTACTGTGTGCTAAACAAGCACTCTGCAAGACATCAGAAATGGCCCCTGACCCTTGTGGACTTACAGAGTAATGGATATATAGTACTTCAACACTATCCTCTTTCTGTGTATGATTTCCTGGTCATCAAACAACTTCTGAAAAATAAACTCACTCTCCCCTGAAGTTTAATACTCATGAAACAGTCACTGCCAGAATCAGCTTTCTGATCAACATATCAGTACATTCCTACTTCAACTAAAAATCACTCAGGTTTCCACATCAGTGTTTAATGAGGTAGCTCCAGCAATTCCCCCAAATCTGACAAATTCTGATCAAATGACTAGATACAAATTCTAAAACTGCAGAAGTGAGACTGGAATATAATCCATACCAAATCTTACCACCGAAGCAAGATGTAATTTATCCTCTGATCTTTGTTTTATTATGCCCTTCAAGCTGTATTACCACACTAAACAATTATTAAGATTGAAATAAGTTTTGGCCTCATGCAGTCATGGGGGGTCGGGCTTTTCGGAAGTACCTGAATCTAGCATTTGTAATTGATTGGTGGTCCAATGCTGGGATTCAGGGTGTGAGTGGTAGCCTGCGTACAATATAAAGGACAGAAAGAGGCTTGCTCTGTCTCTCTGTTTCTGTCACTGTCTCTCTCTCTCTCTCTCTCTGCTTTTGCTGTCTTCCACCACTTTGAATGGTTGTCCCTCTGCCATGTGCCACCCTGTCTTGATGCCAGCCGATTATGGACTGAAACCTCCACACACTGTGAGCTAAATAAATAAACCTTTCCCCCTTTAACTTTGGGTATTAGGTATTTTGTCTCAGCAAGGAGAAAAGTAAGACAAAATACATCACAAAATACGTCATCTAGCATGCTGGCCAGAGGAAGCTCTGAAGATCTTTAAACGGCAGCTGATTCAGTAGGGCAGGGCGGGGCCTGTGGAAAGTTCCCAGTCATGTCCAGGCCACTGTCCTGTTATACACCAGGTTACAGAACTCACCCGGCACAAGCGCAGCTCAGCCCAGTTACCTGTGCCCTCTCATCTGTGTATGTCTTATTTACTTTATTGATGCCACCTTTCCTGGGAGTGAAGACAATGTCTTCTTCATCTTTGTATCCTCCACAGTTCTAGCCTACCTGAATGCCTTCCATATGACAAACCATCAAATAAACGCCAACTGAATAAATGCCATCTAGCTTTCCCAAGTCATTACTTCTTGTATGGCTATAGACACAACTGTTTCTGCCTTTAATTATTTGAAACAGAAAAATATTTTTGGAAATTGAAAAACTAGGAAAGGTTTTAATCTAGTTTTTATAAAGGAGAACTGTGAAAGTTTACAGTATACTCCAGTGCATTTCTCATGCTGACCTAATCAAATCTTAAAAACCAGTTCATCTCCCAATAAGTTTTCCTTTTATTCTTTGTAAACAAACAAGAATTTAATTTTTTCTTTAAAAGCCATTCTGCTTCCCGGAGAAATATTTTAATTAATCTTTTAAAAAACATAATCATTTTCTTAGAATGTACCTCCCAACTTCAAAGCAGCACCATAACCTGTAACATTTACATACACCTGTAAAATAATCCTGGTCTGTTAAATCGGACCATAAAAATCTGAGCGTTCCCGTTATCAGTAAGTGGATCTTTGGCAGTCTCGTGTTTTTCCTCGGATTTGCTGTCATCACCATGGCGAGTAATATCTGGTATAAACACTGGTTGTTAACCTGACTACACCGTCTTCTCTGCCGAGGAACATGGTATGCTGACAGGGTGTTTGAAGCATTCCAGAAAGGAAACAGTGGAATTATGACTTTGACTTCTACAGTATTTACGGGGGGGGGG